CATGCAGCCAGCTCTCGTCATTATCGCTTTTCGCAAAACGCTTTTGTCTTGAAAACTATGGGTGAGTTTGGAAAATCAAGGGGGGTGGGAAACGAGGCGAACCGGATCCCGAGGCAATGGCTAAAGAATCCTTTGCTCCTTTTGCCGCCTGACACTTTTGTGACATTGTGCAAATGAATAATTGTGCTTTTCTTTGCTTTGCTGGCGACCACAACAACTGCACATCCGTTCCACATCGCTCGCTCAATGTCCCATCATCATCATCGTCGTCATTATCATTGTCATCATCGCGTTCATTGTCATCGCAGCAGTTGGCTAAGAGCACGTTGCTCATTCGCCGAATGGGCTATCGGCCAATGCCTTCATCATGATCATCCTGTTCATCACCATCATCAGAGGGCCAGAGAATGTCCTGTTTCCTAGGCCAGCCAGCTCGGCCATCGCCGTCCAACCGCAACAAAACAAGCAGCTAAACAGTCGCTTAGCCCAGCCAGCCAGCCAGCCAGCCAACCAGCCAGCCTGACTACTGACCCCTTTTCAATGGACATCCGTTGGATTTGGCCCTGTCTCCACGCCGGCACTTGGCAAAAAAGCAATGCCCTCAAATCGTGTGGAAAACCAAAAGACTTGCCAATTTTTATTTACAATTCAAGTTATAACCAATGAAACATGCATGAAGTTATTGTTAACTGTTTTTGTTATTGCACAGTTCGCGGTACTGTAAACATTGCTGTTAATAAATAAGAAATATTAATAAACTACTAAAAAGTTGGTTTGCTTTCTAGCAATCAATCAATAATACTTAAGGTAAAATAGTTTTAAATCTCTCTTCCCTTCTCCTTGCCAATAATAAAGCTTAATAAATATTTTATAAATATTAAAACATGTTAAAATCTTCCTTAACTTTATTATTGGCTAATGCTAGTTCTTAACTAAAATGAACTAATTGAACGTGTTGAAAATCTCAAAGAAAATTAAGTATCACTAACAGAAATTTATTAACTTTTAAGGATAATTTTCAATGTCTATTAGCTTGTAATATAAATGAGCATTAAGAATGAAGTTTATGTTATTACTAGGTTAAATTTCTTTGTTTCTGGTTAAAAAAAAACTTAAATAGATTTTATTATATAAACTTAATCTTAAACTTAAATCTCGAATTTTTCTCTCAGTGCACTATCGCCACTTGGCGTCCAAGTCGCCACTGTTTGCCATTCATTTTGTTTCTGTTTGCGCTTTGATTGACGGAGAGCTGTGAGCTGGTGTGCTGTTGAGCTGGCGAGATGGGACGCTGCTTGCGCTGCATGTCCTTGCGCTTGTCCTTTCGGAAAACCAATGCCATTGCGCTGCCCCAGCATTATTAATGATTTTTCCAAAGTTTTCGCTACATTTTATGCTACATCTTCTGGCCCGTTGGGCTCTCCTCTTTCAGTGCTTTTCTGGCGATGGTGATGGTGTTGCTGTTGTTAGTGCTTCTGTTTCCCAGTTGTTGTTGTTCGCAATGTTGTTGTTGCTGGCATATTGTTGATTGTTCTTTTATCTCGTCTCCGTCAATTCGTTGCGTTATATTGCTGTGTTCCATTTGACTTTGGGTTTTGAATTTCCGCCAGATCCCATGGGTTCATTTCCCGCCAGCTTCACTAGCTCCATCAGCTCCATCTGCCCGATTTTGCAGCTTCTGTTTCTGTTTCAGTTTCTGATTCTGTTCTGTTTTCTGGCATTGGTGTTTGGCCAACGTATTACGCTTATTTGCCCGGTTTCGGTTTCGGTTTCCTCCGGACAACAACAACAACAATAATAAAAACAACGACAACAACGCTCTTTGCATCCTTGCTGTTTGCAACTTCCGTTTCCGGCTTTTTTGTCCGGCATTTCGACCCGTCCGTCCGCCATTTCCTCCTAGATAAATACTTGTCAATCAGTTATTAATTGCTTTTCAAATTTATTGAATTTGCGGTTGCTTGCAATTTGGCTTTGCTTTCTTCTCCATCGTTTTTCCTCTCTGTGTGGCCCTACATGATTGGCAGAAAATGTTGCCATCGCTTCGTATATTTTTTTTATTTTTGTATTTTCAGCTTACTGCATTTGGGTGGATGTCAGGCCAAGGTTCATTAAGCAACATTTTTCAGCAATTTGCAATGAAACCGAGTCAATTCGATGGCATTCAACAAATTTAGCATTGAAGACAACATTTGCAACAAAAGCCTGGACAAAAGGATGAAACGTAATGGAAATGGAATGGCACACAAGCCAATTCAAGTATCTAAATGCACAAAGTTAAGAGATATTGGGACAATAATTGATTGAGACTATGGGACAACATAATTGATCATTCCAAACTGGAAATGGAATGCCCAAAAGGATTTGTCTAAGCCACACCAAATTGATGGGGAAGAAAAGAGTTTTTAATATGTTCTCAGTATATAAATTTAGAAAATTTCTACAGCTTACAAGAGCTTATATGTACTCCTTTAATTACTTAATTTTATGATGAAAATATTATAAAATATTTATAAAAACCAAAAAAGTCTAATTTTGGCATACAAATACTATTATTATTTTCTAACTAAATAAAGTAGTAATTTCTTTCATATTAAATCACTTTTTTGCTTCTCCGAGTTGAAAATCAGAAAATTGTTGATCATTTTTTTTTAAGAAAAACCACCTCCACCTTTCAGAAATCAGTTAGTTTGCAATTTCCCCGACATCTAGCTCACATTCACTGCACTCATTTGGCATGTATGTAAATATGTAAAGCAATTTGCCACTCTGGCAGCCATTTGTTGTTGGCTGCCTTTCATTTCGCAGGCTTTTGCCGTTTTGATGGCGCTCGTTAATTGCATTTTCCTTGGCCAGGTGATAGACAAGCCGCGAAGTGAAGTGACTGCAACTCCGGTTCCCCGAGTTTTTCCGAGACCCGATCCTGATGTGATGTGAGATGCGATGCAATGCGATGTGAAATGCAATGCGATGCGATGCGATGCGGTGAGGACAAGGACAAGACATTCGGATGTGTCAGTTGCGACAGTTGGAACAAAGCGATATTTAACCAAGGTGACAGGTGGAAAAGAGGGGGTTAGTGGGTAGTGTGGATAGTGGGGTTAGAGGGGGTAGAGGCACAACCGGAACAGTGCGCGTGAAAGGTATGTGGCCGCAGAACAACAAACAGTGCAGTGGCAACAACGAAATGCAATTAGCAAATAGATGTGGCCATGCATTTGCCTCCTTCTCTGTCGCTTCTCTCTCAAAGTCTCTTCCTCTCTCTGTGTGTGTGTTTCATTAAATCCACTGCAATGTTTAATAAAATGCGCACAAAATAGTTTTTAGAAACAAGTCTGCCATGGCAGTTGGAACAATATGTTCCACATTTTATGCTCTGAAGTGGTCTGCAATAGAAACAACAGCAGCAACATCGGCAGCACATATGCATGCAATGGACTCTGCGCCTCACTAACTTCAATTGCTATGGCAGAAGGCATATATGGAAAGCCACAACTTTCCCATAGTCACCCCCTTCTATATAGATATATATATATATATATAGTCCATGGTTTGTCTTACTTTTGTTTCGCCTTTTATGGCAGCTAAAACGCAGGCAAGCATATGCAGATGGCCTCGTTGCTGCAGTTGGTGTATGTATGTAGTTGCTGTTCGCGCATCTGCAACATCTTGTTGAGCTGTCAAAATATGCTTGTTAACAACATTTGTTGCACCGCAGCAACAACATGGCAACAGCGGCTAGCTGCAGGCCCCCAACAGCAACAATGCAAACACACACAGAGAGAGCGAGAGAGCCAAGTCTAAACTCTAAACACTAAAGACTAAAGACTAAAGCTAAAGGCGAGTGGTGCAGCTGCTTTGGCCTAAACATGTTTACTGAAGCTGAGATGCTACCCATTTAATTTCTGACAGCTAGAAATTTTTAGTTTTAAAAGCGACAAAAATAATCATGAAAATTGCCGTTTTTCCAGGCTTTATCTCCGGGATAAACTTTCCATAAATAGCCAAAATGGGGGCGGTATAGAAGAGAAGAGAGTCTGTTTGTGTGTTGTTATATATGCAACATAGTTTGGAGTTGGGGCTCTGCAGACGCCTTGGGCGTGCGTTTGTCTAATAGATCAGCATCAGCGGGCAACAGAAGGCTAGCTGCAGCTCAAATGTGTTTTCAGGCCATTTATCATCTGCTGCCTGCCCGCTGTCTGCAATTTCAGCGGCGTTCATGTTGCAGCAGCAGCTACAATGGCAACAGCAACATCAGCTAAAAACTAAGCTGCAGCCTCCAGACTCGGCTTGAAATTCGAGCAGCGTACGCGCACAAGGTGTCTACTTTTCAACGCCCCAGCCAGTTGAGTCCAGACTAACAGACTACCAGACCTCCAGACCAAAAACCAAGCCCACCACTTGCAACTCCTTTGCAGAACAACCAGAACAACCACTAACCGGCTGCTGCTCATGCCTCTGCTCTGCTCTGCTCTGGTCAGCTCTGGAGTCTGCCTCATTTACACTGAAATTATTCAGCATAAATCATCTTAATGTTGCGTGATTTTTAGACGGCCTTTTAGCGTCTCCCGAATGTCACTTAAAATCTGGCACATTAAAGCCAGCACACGAAAACAGGAGGCAGAAGGCCGAGGGCTGTTTCAACACCAGATACGAGCATAAATCAAAATTAAATAACAGGAAAATAAACTCACCGCTCGCTGCTGCCAGGGCTTTGTGTAATGGAAACCCTTGTTTGTTATTAACCAAAAAAAAAAAAAAGGGGGAAAATTTAAACATTGAACAAGCAAAAGTTCATCTACGACAACATAAAATCCAACACTATGGCAAATATTAAAATGAAGATGGTTAAAGTAAGTCTGTGTGTTTGTTTTTACAGGGCAAATGAAGAGTTTCAGGTGTCCAGAGAAGGCGAAGAGAGAGAATCTTCTTGACAGAATTGGAATTGGAATAAATGTTGTATATATATTCCAAGTATTTATTCCTTTTGACCAGCCAACAGCAACTCTAGGTGTTGCAAGTTCAAATTTATTTATGCTTTTAATAGGGCTCTTGGTAAATATACTTCAACAGAAATCTTAAAAAAAAAAAAAGAAGGAAAACCAAACTGATGGAGTTGAAATTCCCTTTTGATTTTCATCAGCTGTCCCAGAGGAATTTTTGCAAGTCTCCGAGCGCTTTAGATTTTGGCAGTTCTGAGCTTTAAATAAAATACAAACAAAACACGCAGAGGGAAGAAAACTCAAGAAAAGCTGTCAAGATTGAGGCTAAACTTTTTTTTATTTTTTATTATGTCTCAGCATCTGTTGCCTGGCGAGACTGGAGAAAACTCGCACTTAATACATAATTCGTGTACACATTATAATTACAGGCGATGGCTGCGTCGTCTCTCTCAGTCCCGGCCATAACATTTTGGTTATGGGCCCAAACAAAAAGCTACCAACTGATTTACCAGATCAAAGCCCACATGCACACATGACGACGGCACTTTGAAGTTGATTTACTTCAACTTGGAGTTGGCGTTCGCTGGAATCACATCTTTGAGTTCGCAGCACAAATGATACTTTGTTGATTTTTTGTTGTTCACGTTGTCGTTTTTGTTGTTGTTGTTGTTGTCAAGGGGGCAGATATATTCACCCATATAAGCATATAGGAGAAAAAAAAGAAACAAAGAATACGAAATTTCATTAGAATCAGAGCCACATTCGAGGGTTATTATTGTTCTTGCCAGACAGTTTTATTGGGCATTTGCAACTTACGCCTTGGTTTTTGGGCTTGCAGCGTGCCCTCTGCAGGAATCGCATTATCACTGGGGGCATGTGCTCCTTGTACATCGCATAGTGCCGCAGGACGAGGCGGCAGGAACTGAAGTGCACACAACGCCCTTCAGTCTTCTCCGGCGTCTGGCAGCTGGACCCTACTTCAGAAAGAGAAAAGGTCAGGCAGGCACAAGGAGAAAATGTTACAAAATTTTGCAAAATGTTATTCATATTGTGTTGTTATATATAAAAGATATATCAACAGGAAATTATAATTTTTTTTAGCAATTTATCGACTTTAATTCCTTATTTATTTATTTATTTTGAGGGCCTTAACTGTTATTGCTCCTAGCCGAATGTTAGCTCTTAGTTTTAACTAATTTCTAGCCTTAGATAAATAAATAAATAAATTCCTTATTTGGTTATAAAAGATTTGCTCACAAATTTCATGAATTCTTTTATACAAACTTGAAGAAGCACCGAGATTGGAATCTCGATTGGAATTCCGCCAAAAGGCATGTAAGCTTAGGAAGTTGTTCTCTTAGTTGACATTAATTATTAGTAATATAAAAACATATATCTTCTTACTTAAACACCATTTAAAAATATTATTATTAATCAACTTTTAAAAGTTTAACCCATGTCAACTTAATTTATAAACTCAAAATACCAAAAATTCTCGCATAAATTCCACCATTCCAATGCCAATCACAGACTGCCACATCTTAAAGGAGTAAGATTCACAACAATTGCTCTTGCAACATCACAGAGACATCTTGTTTTTTCATGTGTGGACGGATATATATCCATAATCAATGGCTTACGTGTGTGGCCGAATGCCGATGGCAGCAGGGGCAGGAGCACAGCCAGAGCCAGGATGACGAAACCGAACGGAATCAATCGAGATGTGCGCCGCATTGTGAATTTACAATTTCGGAAGCAGTTGTTACGCCGCAGACTTTTCCGGAAAAGATGACGATGCACGGGTATAGTAGATGGTATAGGGTATGGTATATGGTTATATATTAAAGTCGCGTTAAAGTCTTAAGAGCTTTAAGCGCCGAAAACCCACTCCAAGATTTGAGAGTGGAATCCAGACTGAGTCTTGAACTCGGAATCGAGAGTCTGGGTTTGCTGTTCTGGCAGCAGATTGTTGCTCAAGTAAACAGCTTGGGCTTGGGCAACTTTTGATAAGCGATTCGGGAAATTGGGTGGTAAAGAGGGGGGTTGGGCTTGGGACAGTGGTATGTTCAAATGGAGGGCGCTCTTATCGACGGCGTGCAAAACAAGAGGCCAAAAAATATGTACATAATATGTAAACAAAGCACACAGATACTCATACCCAATGGGGCAGCATCTATGGCATCCATAAACACATGTTTGAGGCGGCGCGTACCAGTTTGAACTTATGCCGGGCGCCTGCCGGGTTAAACGTTAACGTTAGCTAACAAAAGCAAATGGAAATTTATTATACATATACATGTAGATATATATGTTTATATATATATATATTGCAAAGTTCGAAATGAATTCTAGCAGCTGTGGGCTCGCAGCGAAAACCCCACAGTCACCGTCTTCATTCATCTTTTCAGCTGGAAAACCACCAATATACGAGTATATATACACAGGAAGAAATTATGAGGGCATGCAGATAGATAATCTACGAGAAAGAGATTAACTAACAGTTACTAAATAGTTTTATTAAGAGAACAATAAGGTTTAGTCATATATGGTTATGTTTCAAGGCAAATACAAGCTGATTCTTTCTTGAGAAGTATAAATACTTTTCCTATGCACTCTACTCTGTTAATAAAGACTTTTCCCCAGTGTACTTATGTCAAAATAGCCATATTCAACCGTGATTGATGGAACACAAGACAAGACAGGTAAGCCAGCAGCTTGTAAGCTGCTTACCTGCGAGCGTTTCACCCCTGTTCTGGGAGCACAATGCACACTCCTAATTAAGTATCCTCGGGGCGAAGCTATTGTTCAATAAATACCAATTTATGCCTTCACTTTGTGTTTTGGCCTGGCTTATATTGGTTGTGCTCCGTGCCCCTGCTATTGGCCTTTCTGCCATTTTGGCCAAAATCACAGTCGAATTCAATTTTATTCAGCCCATCGTCTCACTGGTATATACATGTATACTCATACACATGTGCATGTGTAGTTCGCCAGCGCCTGCCTGCCCGCCGTCCTGCCAAAAGAGAAGATTTTAATAAAAATGTAAATTTTTTTTTAGTTGCCTTAGGGGTTCTTGGCGCTGGGAAAAAGCCAATAAAAAAGTATTGCTCGTTATGAACTTGGCGGCAGTTTTTGTAGCTGATACCCGCAGAATCCTCATTCCATTCCAACGCAATCCTGCCAACTTGGCCAACACACACACATACACAGACGGTGCACGCAACTTCCATCGAAAGTATCATTTCGGCCAGGTTAAAGTTTTTGGCTGCCTCCGAATGTCATGCCAATTGGCCCTTTCGGCTCTCCCATCGCGTGCGTTCCAAGGAGATTGCGGCTTTATCGAATTATAATTGCGGCCATAAAGAAAAGTTTTTATTTCGTTTGAATTTTAAGTATTCTCAATTCTCTCTGTTGGCTTTTTGCATCCCTTCTGAGAAACTGAGACAACCACCAGTGCATTTCCATCTTTAAGTATCTTGTTTTTTTTTTAGTTAATGGGTCCCCAAAGGCTGGTCCCAATTTTAAGTACTTCCAATCCAAAAAATATAAAAAATAATAACTACTTGCTTCTACTATTTTACTTATAATACAGAAAAAATTTCATCAAACTATTTATTTCCTAACATTTTCAATGCATTTTTCATAAATTTATTACTTAAATTCTGAACAAAATCTGAAAAACTGAAAATCAAATTTCTCAACGACAAAACGCAACTTACGGGAACTAATAACTCTTAAATTTTATTGCATTTTGCAACAAATGAAAGCTTTACGTTTTTTAATTTCTGAACAAACGGATTTCGTATATTTTTATCGATATTGTGGCACCGAACCCTATATAGATATATAAATGCATAAAGTAAGACAAATAATGATTGATTTAATGGACATCGAAACATTATCGAAGGCATTGCAAAAGTGTTGACAGAGCCATTTGATGGCCCATAAAGACCAGCCACATCATTAAAAGAAACCCTTTTTCCCGAGTGAAAATATTGACACTTCTTCGATTCCGCTGGCTAAATGTTCGCAAGGGTAACCCCTGTGCTTCCCATCAGAAAATTTCAATTTGTTGCCACTCAACCCCGCATCGATCACATGTGTAAACGTTTAAGTACGATATTTAGATATGTGTGTACGTAAACATGCCGGAACCAAAGGGCATAAAAACCCAAAATGTGCATAATAAAAAGCCATCGTCATAGACTTCAACTTCAACTCCAGCACTGAATGGGCCCATAACCATTGCCCAGCCCGACATATAGAGTCCATATGCATATATGTACATATATCCGAATCTGAAACTGAAAGCCAACGTAGCCCTTTTACAGATGTGCGATAAAACAACGGGCTGGGCAACAAAAGGCATCGGAAAATATGAGAAACAAAGCATAAAATAAAACACTTCGGAACTTCGAGTTGACAATTTGAAGACGCCAATAAAGTTTCCTACGCTGCTCATACCATTGGTTTTTGTTTTTGTTTTTGTCATTGCATGCTGCTATTGCACTGAGAAAAAAATATTGTATTTTATGTAATTTTATTTGACAAAAATTTGTTTTATAAATAATCAATAAATCAAGAACACAAATAGAAAATTTAAAACTTTTCCTTGAATATTATTTTTTAAAGATATTTTTATATATTTATTGAAAAAATCAAATTCATAAAAAAAAAGCTTTAAATATTTGTAATATTTTTCATTCCTTCCGTTTTTTAAAGATTTTTTAAGATATTATAAAGGAAAATGACTAAAAACTCTTTTAACTAAATCTAAAAACTCGATTTATATAGCTTAAAATTTAATGAATATAAAATTCTTAAATAGCATTTGCTTTATATATTTTTTGTTAAATATTTTCATATGTATTAATTTCTTTAAAAATGTATTTCTTGTTTTATTTTTAATTTTTTAAATAAAATTTTCCTGCCTGTGTTTTCGCTTTCGCCCTTTTTCACCAATAAAAATTCTTTGGAAATCATTTAGGAAAACGCATGCATGCACATCATGTGCACGCCAACGCCCACGCAACTCTCACACCCCCGCTCTTGGCCACGCCTCCTGCCCCCGCAACATCCAAAAGAAAGAGAGAGGGAGATTCCCAGAGCGGAGATAAAACGCGTGTCAGACACGACAATGCCATGGATCATGTGTCAAATTGTGACTTGCAGTTCATGGCACTCGGCGGGAGTCGCAACTAGTTACCTGCCGTCAAGCACTTTTCGCATGCAGATGCTCGAATATAGTCGAATGCTCAGCTCGAGGCGACGGCAAGCGGCAAACGGCAAACGGCACACGCAAATGCACTTTTGATTGCCAATCGGGGAGGTTTCCTTGGTAAGAGCTTGGTTGATACGAGAAAACTAGGGAAAAATCTACCACCCACCCATGAAAATACCAACCCAATCTATATCTGTCTTTGGCTTTTCTTATCTGACTTTGGCTGTTATTCTTATGAATAGTCGAGTGCGAGTAGCACGGACACATCTGCAGCAGCAACTGCACTCCAAAGTGTGCTGTTGCATTGTCGTTTTATTTGATGTTGGGGTAAAAGCTTTTATCAAAAATCGTATTGCATGCAAATTAGATTCCTCTCACGATATTACTATGGTAGTGTGTGTGTGTGTGTGTGTGTGACTGGATGTCTCGCCTTTGTCCGCCAATCTAGAAAACTGCAGCATTCCCGCTGCCATCGGTTGATGATATTGTCGCCCTGCATTTTTTCATCTTTCTTTTTTTTTGTTGAGCTCGTGAAGCTTCTGCGGGCCTTCTTCTTCTTGTGATAAAGATACCGACGACATGCACACGACAATGCTGCCAAACGCTGATGATTCAGACATTGCGACCAAAAGCAAAAGTCTGATGATGATGCTGCTGCTGCTTACGAGCGGCGACTGTTGTTGCTGCCGCTTGGTCTTTTGTCGCAGGTCTCAATTGACTTGATAAACTCCTTCCTACGATTTTTTTCAATTCCGTCGTACGCTTGTGCTTGTTAACGTCAACCGGCTACACACAGTTACACAAAGAATAAAAAGAGGTTAAAGTTCCAAAATATCCAAATATTTTAATAGATTTTTTTATACGTTTTTCAAAAAAAGAAGAAAGAATCAAATAAAAGATTAAGAAATGTTAAATGTCAAAAAATAGTAAAAGCAAAACCGAAAAGTAGAATATTAAGACTGTTAAATTTTAAATTATACCTTCGTTCAAAATTCTTACAAATACTTTGTTCTTCTTCAAGATTTCTACCATTTCCCACTTGATACCTTAAGTACCTTAGATTTTTTCCCCAGTGCTCAAAATCAGAGATGCTGGGCTGAGGAAATGGGTAGCTCGACAGTCACAAAGATGCAGGCGTAAAATGAGTTCATTTTTTCTGTGGACTCTATCGAGCACGTCTTATCTGAAGTCGCATACGTATTTGGCCATGGCCAACAGAATGGAGTGGGAGTTTGGTCCCCTCAAAGAGTGTGGCTAGAGGGTAGAGGGGCTGGGGCTGCACCGGCTTAAACACACTTGAATGCATTTCCATTTCATGGCTATGGCTTCATTGCCGCCAAACGTCGGCGTCTGCCGCTTTGTCTGGTGGCTATGCGCCAACTTGCCAAATAAAAGGGAGAAAAAATGGAGCAAAACGAAGAAAAAAAAGGTTGAAAAAAAGAAAAGCCAGCTGGGACACCTCTAACTCTATGCTGGCTGTTTGTGTAATAGCGTTCATCGAAGCTTAAGGTGTATAAATCACACACAATGCGGTCTTTTGTAGTTCCAGGCGACACACACACACACACACAGACACACACACATGCACTCAAACACACGCAGACTTGGAAAACTGCAGTGGAAAAAGTGCGCAGCGTTTAGCTCGATTTTTTCCACTCGTTTTTCACACTTTTCCCTCGGGTCTTTTTTCGGGTCTAAATTATGGCCCTGACGTTCCGACGCTTTAAAATGCCGCTGCCGCTGCGGCTGCCTGTTGTCAGGCA